ATTTAGTCATTCAGGCAGGCTCAGAGTCTGAAAGCCCTGCTCCCTTCACTGCGAAATTAAAGCTGTGACACTTGAGTGCATGAAGTGTCCAACATTCTGCTCTTGCCTTTAAATAAGTGAGAGCATCATCTGGGTAGACAAGTGCACTTTTTTCGCATTCAAATTTTTACACTACTTGCAATATTTCTGCAAAAAAAAAAAACAGAACAGTGCAAAAGCATGCTGATTAGGATGTTATTTGGTTGTTAAGGTATTATAAGTGCCTATTATTAGGCTTGGTTGTTAGTATAGTCCAAAAAACGGCATCACACCACCCACCTGTTTCTGTTTACGTGTTGCAGATTATCATCCTTTGGTTATTGCCTCGTCATATCTCGCTGCTCTTCTGAAGTAATTCACAACTTGGTCTCTGTTTACAAGTTTGTGAGAGTTCGAGTAGTTGCTGTCATGTGATGTGCATTTGACAGGACTGTACCTCACGTTAATTTCATGACAAAAAAAGAGAACATTTGTTTTTAAGGGCCTACTCACACTATGCCATCCGTACTGTGCCCAGGCCCGTTTCCCGGATCGTTTGAGAAGTGTGAGTGCGCTGAATCGGGCTCAAGCACGGTTCACTTGGCCGGCCCTGGCCCGGTTGGAAGAGGTGTGCCTGAGCGCGGTACACTTGGGCTTTGGCGCGGTACGCTTGTGTGTGAGTGCAAAACGCGCCAAAGCCCAAAACTGAAAGCGAGACGTGACTTTTAAGGGACTGTTTCATATGGATTTATTAATCATTCTCACTGTTCAGTGAACGTAAACTGCCGTAGTTTATTAAAGACGCAAACTCCTCACTTCACGACAGCTGTGCGCCTTTAGCAAACCTCCTCATTCCTGCAGCACGAGAGCTTTATGATGAGCTTTATGTTTATGAGCGCTAAAAGTGGCGGATCTGTTCGGCGAAATATCTGACTGCGTGTCCCTGCATCCCTAAGGACTGTTTGGCGAAATATTTGACGGCATATCAAACGACTGAAACGATATAACTAGAGAAATCTCCACTGTGCTGCTGAGTGAGAGAGCGCTTCTCACTGAACAGCACAGCAGCGATGACGTAAGCGTGCCGAAGCCCGTTTGTGGTGTGAGTGCGGGCCGTCGGGGGAGACGGGAGGGGGGACAAGCGTGCTTTGGCCCGGTTCGAGGCAACTGTACCTAGTGTGAGTACGGCCTAAGTGTAGTTGGCTTTTTTAAAAGAGGATATTTTAAGCTCTTTCATATCTGTGAAGCAAGTACTGGCTGATATTCCAGCGCGTTTGTTCACCAGAAATTCATAATGAAGCTGCAGAAACTGTCATACAAACACACATTTTGTCCGAGTCCCTCCCCTGGAGAATTGTCAGTTTATTGCAATTGATTATTGGCTCCTATACTAGAAGGCGGGGCTTCATTCGCCATATTGACCATTACACTTTTCCCAATTCAAAACTATACAAATGTCATTTCTTGTGTATACTATACTTTGAGGCCCTGCTTTGCTTCAGTGATCTTGGGTTACAGGGTGATGTGGCTGTGATTTTTAGCTTTCTTCAAACTATCTTCTTCAGTTCAAAATCAAACAAAAAGTGATTCTTAATGTGTCGGTGCTCTTTAGTTAAGGGATTCATAAAAATAATCGTCCAAGGCACTCAAAAAGTAAGTGAAAAAATGTAAAAGCCTTTTTTTAACATGGCTAATATGTAAGAAATCTTAATTAATAAAGTTAATAAAGACTTTTCAACTTAGTTTTTAAATGCCTTGAGTTTATGATTTCATTATAGAATAAATATCAAGCTAATTAATTTTTTTGTGGACTGTCCCTCTTAATGTGTTTAAATTTGAAATGCCACAGCTCACCTTGAAGACTCTTGACATAAACAGAGGATTGGCTGAGATGTGAAAGTTGCACAGGGGTAAATCATTCAGTTTTTTTAGCAGATATAGAGTTGTGGTTAAAGTTTGCATGATCTGGAAGCTGCGACCGTTCTGTTTTTTTCATATTGTGACACAGTTCCTAGAGAAACTTAATTTTTTTCCGCAGGCACATGACATCAGATTAACGTTGTACCCCAACATCGTGGAATGTTACAGTTTGATTGGAAATGAAGATCAGGTTGACGTCAGAACCCAACGTCTGGCTGATGTTAATGTCTAACTTCTGACAGACTTCATTCATAATGTCCAACTTCATTGCATTTTGATTACTTCCCAACGCATAAGAACAAGAAAATATCAATGTCTAATGATGTTACAGCATGACGTTGTGTGGACATTACCCCTATGAAATCTATTAGATGTTGGATTTTGGTTGCTATGGCTGATGAATAAATGTCAGTATTTGACGTCAACATGACGTTGGTGTAAGATGTTGGCTCCATGTTGGAATTGGTCACTTTCCAACACAACCAAAAATCAACAAAATTTCAACGTCAGGAGTGTCGCTAGACCCCATTTACTGGGGCATGTTTTATATGGTATATATTAGTGCTGTCGAAATTAGTGCGTTAACGCATGCGATTAATTGAAATATTTAACATGTTAAAAAAATGAAGGCAATTAACCCAGTTGCAGTTTTTTTTTTTTAGGGGTTGAGTGAGCGATGTATCTGAGTAAGGGCGTGTGCGCGCTAGACGTACCTGAAAAGCGGTGGGGGTGAGTTGCTCACGACGTAAAGAGCGGTGAGGAGAGAGTTGCGCGGGACGTACCTGAAGAGCTAGGAGGGATGCGGTGGAGAGGGGTGTGCAACGTATTTAAGGACCGGGCGGGAGACGCGCAATTTCCGGGAGATTATCATTCATTTGCGGGCATCCGGGAGTCTCTGTGCAATTGAAGGATGCTCCCGCAACTTCCGGGAGACTTGGAATGTCTGGACTAGACTGTCTTAGCAACTGTCTGAATGTAAAGGAGGACTGAGCAAAATTGTTTCTACTTTATAATTAACATTCTCAACTCACAGCAATACAACTTTACAATGAGTACAATTGTTTGTATTCAATACTTTATTATTATTATAATTTTCCATATCTGCAATGCCTGTATTTTGCCATTTTTTTGCAGTCCACTTAGAATCCAACATGGAAATAACAAGGAAGCACTTTTTTAAGGCAAGTTTCAGTATAAAACAATTAATGTCGCATTACCAGGCTCTCCAGCGTTTTCTCCAGAGATTCATCTAATTTCGTATGTTTCATTTTTAACTTTCAACTTTTTTTTAATGAAATTTGATACCGCATGGCGAACGGAAAGAAAAACCTCAGCATTTCGTGACTCGGTGGTCCTTTAAGATAATCAAAAATCGATGTTTTTGCGTACATGTCGTAAGGTGAATCGTTAGGTGTGTGCGTGCGTGCGAGTGTGTGTGTCTATGTGTGAGCGATTTGGTGTGACACAACGCATACATGTATGTGCCATTGATGCTTATTACGTCCTTGTCGCAGCACCAGTGGCCACAAAATTAAGCACCGACATGCATATGCTGATTCAGTAATCCTGCTTGTGATCCTGCCTGTTTGCACTCTCAGCACACATCATTCAAAACAAAAGGTCCACATTGTCCCCCGATAATGTCAACAGACTGGACTCTCTTAGCAACTGTCTGAATGTAAAGGAGGGCTGAGCAAAATTGTTTCTACTTTATAATTAACATTGTCAACTCACAGCAATACAATTTTACAATGAGTACAATTGTTTGTATTCAATACCTTATTATTATAATTTTCCATATTTGCAATGCCTGTATTTTGGCATTTCTTTGCAGTCCACTTAGAATCTAACTTGGAAATCAATGTTTTCTTTATTGGTATTGATTGTTTTGAAATTCAGATGGCATTAACATGCCTGTGTTTTTATTTCTGCAATAAATATGGCTGTCAAGCCAGGATCTTGATGGTTTATTGTGTTTACATCAAGAAATCTGTGTTACAAGTTAAACAAAAATTCTATTAAACAATTATATTTTGAATTTAAATATTTTTTGTCTTGCGTTTACATTAATTTTAAATTTGAATAGCCAAAATTACAAGTTTCAGTCTTTCTAATGCGTTTAATTGTGATTAATCGCAATACATTTTCAAAAAAGTGTGATTAATTAGTCTTTTTTTTTATCGGTTGACAGCACTAATATATATATATATATATATATATATATATATATATGTATATATATATATGAATGTATTTATATGCATATATATTAGTCCTGGGCCATTATCTGCGTTAATGTGCTGCGTTAATGTCAGACTCTTATCGGTAACCTATTGTGACCTGATAATATGCTGGTATTAAATGAGAAACAATGGGCGTGGCTTGTTTTTTCTACTGCAAGCTGATTGGATGTAGGCATTACATTCAGAAAGATAGGGGAAAAGGTTTCAGACTTCTTCCGCTCACCATTCCTGTTTATTGTCAAAGCCGACAGTTGGAGGGGCGTGATTAATTATGTTAGCCACGCCCAATACCTCAGACAGACACAATTTGAAAATTGAACTGCAAACAAACAGGAAGTGCATTTTCAGATTTCAGTTCTAGATGACTAAAACTGAAATCTATTTTCAGTTTTAGTAAGGGCAAACTATTACATTTTTTTCTTAATGACATGCACAGAGGAATTGTGCACCATAAAACTAGCAATCTGAGCTAACTAAATCAATGTTAGTTTTGATGTCATATGTATTTTATACACATGGGTTCAATTCCCATGTTAACACTACGCTTAAGACATTTAACAGCAGGTTACTCCAGGACGACCGTCCCCTTGTGGTGCACCGACTGACGTCACTTAAGATTTAAACAAATTAAAAAAAAAAAAACACCCTCTACATGATGACTAAGGAGAGTTGCTCCTGCTGCCACGTCCTCGGGCCTTTTTTGTTTAACACGACAATGTGGAACAAAGCTCCCGGTGCACCTGCTTCTAGAAGCCAATTACACTCACGTATGACATTGTGCGGATATTCAATCACCTTCTCGTCTTTTTGTCTCCACAGACGGTCTCCTGAACGAAGGAGAGTTTCTAGAGATCACAGAAATCAAGCGGCATCAAGCGGAGGATTTTGAATGCATCACCAATAACGGCGTGGCGCCTCCAGACACACGCAAGGTCAAGGTTACTGTCAACTGTAAGTGGAGCCGCTTCTGTCAGCAACACACACACACTCACACAGTCGCGTCCTAATGAAGCTGTTTCTGTGTGTGATGGAAACATGAAGTGGATTGCAATCAGCCGTCTATAGAATTAATCTCTTTATCTTTTCATGCTCATCTCTCGTCTCTGCAGGGTTGTAAAGAACATGAGTAATTGCACTTCATTACTGTACTCATGTATTATTTCAGGTAGCTTCATGCTGTTCTGTATTGAAACTCAATTACATTTCCGCCACTGAAATGACTTTTTACGGTTTCACGTAGACCTTCAGAGTGCATAACACATAACAGCAGTGTGTTTCAAAAGTTTTTGGGTCAGAGAGATGTTTTCATTTATCAAGGACGCATTCAATTAATCAAAAGTGAGAGTAAAGACATTTCTTGTGTTACAAATAGTTCTTCTTTGGAACTTTTCTTTAAGATCCATCCATATAAATATTCAATCCATCCATCTAAATATTGTATCTATTCAACCATCGATCTAAATATCATATTGATCCATCCATCTAAACACCATATCCATCCATCAAAATATTGTATCCATCCATCCATCCATCCATCCATCCATCCATCCATCCATCCATTCATCCATCCATCCATCCATCCATCTAAATATCTTATTCATCCATCCACCTAAATACCATATCCATTCATCCAAATATTGTATCCATCCATTCATCTAAATATTGTATCCATCCCTCCATCCATTCATCCATCCATCCATCTAAATATCATATCCATCCATCCATTCTTCCATCTCAATATTGTATGCTTCCATCCATTTACCTATTGTATCCATCTATTTAAATAGTGTATTCATCCATTCATTCATCCTTCTAAATATCATATCCACCCATTCATCTATCCATTCATCTAAATATTTTATCCATCCATCCATCTAAATATTATATCTTTTCATCCATCCATTTAAATATTGTATCCATCCATGTGTCCATTATTCTAAATATCATATCCATCCATCCATCCATTCATCCATCTACCTAAGTATTGTATCCATCCATCTAAACATTGTATCCATCCATCCATCTAAATATCATATTCATCCATTCATCTAAATATCAATTCCATCCATCCATCTAAATACCATATCCATCCATCAAAATATTGTATCCATCCATCCATCCATCCATCCATCTAAATATCATATTCATCCATCCACCTAAATACCATATCCAATCATCTAAATATTTTATCCATCCATCTAAATATTGTATCCATCCCTCCATCCATCCATCCATCTAAATATCATATCCATCCATCCATTCTTCCATCTAAATATTGTATGCTTCCATCCATTTACCTATTGTATCCATCTATTTAAATAGTGTATTCATCCATTCATTCATCCTTCTAAATATCATATCCACCCATTCATCCATCCATTCATCTAAATATTGTATCCATCCACCCATCTATCCATTCATCTAAATATTTTATCCATCCATCCATCTAAATATTATATATATTCATCCATCCATTTAAATATTGTATCCATCCATTTGTCCATTATTCTAAATATCATATCCATCCATCCATCCATCCATCCATTCATCCATCTACCTAAATATTGTATCCATCCATCTAAACATTGTATCCATCCATCCAAATATCATATTCATCCATTCATCTAAATATCAATTCCATCCATCCATCTAAATACCATATCCATCCATCAAAATATTGTATCCATCCATCCATCCATCCATCCATCTAAATATCATATTCATCCATCCACCTAAATACCATATCCATTCATCTAAACATTTTATCCATCCATTCATATAAATATTGTATCCATCCCTCCATCCATCCATCTAAATATCATATCCATCCATCCATTCTTCCATCTAAATATTGTATGCTTCCATCCATTTACCTATTGTATCCATCTATTTAAATAGTGTATGCATCCATTCATTCATCATTCTAAATATCATATCCACCCATCCATCCATCCATCTAAATATTGTATCCATCCATCCATCCATCCATCTAAATATCATATTCATCCATCCACCTAAATACCATATCCAATCATCTAAATATTTTATCCATCCCTCCATCCATCCATCCATCTAAATATCATATCCATCCATCCATTCTTCCATCTCAATATTGTATGCTTCCATCCATTTACCTATTGTATCCATCTATTTAAATAGTGTATTCATCCATTCATTCATCCTTCTAAATATCATATCCACCCATTCATCTATCCATTCATCTAAATATTTTATCCATCCATCCATCTAAATATCATATTCATCCATTCATCTAAATATCAATTCCATCCATCCATCTAAATATTATATCTTTTCATCCATCCATTTAAATATTGTATCCATCCATGTGTCCATTATTCTAAATATCATATCCATCCATCCATCCATTCATCCATCTACCTAAGTATTGTATCCATCCATCTAAACATTGTATCCATCCATCCATCTAAATATCATATTCATCCATTCATCTAAATATCAATTCCATCCATCCATCTAAATACCATATCCATCCATCAAAATATTGTATCCATCCATCCATCCATCCATCCATCTAAATATCATATTCATCCATCCACCTAAATACCATATCCAATCATCTAAATATTTTATCCATCCATCTAAATATTGTATCCATCCCTCCATCCATCCATCCATCTAAATATCATATCCATCCATCCATTCTTCCATCTAAATATTGTATGCTTCCATCCATTTACCTATTGTATCCATCTATTTAAATAGTGTATTCATCCATTCATTCATCCTTCTAAATATCATATCCACCCATTCATCCATCCATTCATCTAAAAATTATTTCCATCCACCCATCTATCCATTCATCTAAATATTTTATCCATCCATCCATCTAAATATTATATATATTCATCCATCCATTTAAATATTGTATCCATCCATTTGTCCATTATTCTAAATATCATATCCATCCATCCATCCATCCATCCATTCATCCATCTACCTAAATATTGTATCCATCCATCTAAACATTGTATCCATCCATCCATCCAAATATCATATTCATCCATTCATCTAAATATCAATTCCATCCATCCATCTAAATACCATATCCATCCATCAAAATATTGTATCCATCCATCCATCCATCCATCCATCTAAATATCATATTCATCCATCCACCTAAATACCATATCCATTCATCTAAATATTTTATCCATCCATTCATATAAATATTGTATCCATCCCTCCATCCATCCATCTAAATATCATATCCATCCATCCATTCTTCCATCTAAATATTGTATGCTTCCATCCATTTACCTATTGTATCCATCTATTTAAATAGTGTATGCATCCATTCATTCATCATTCTAAATATCATATCCACCCATCCATCCATCCATCTAAATATTGTATCCATCCATCCATCCATCCATCCATCTAAATATCATATTCATCCATCCACCTAAATACCATATCCAATCATCTAAATATTTTATCCATCCCTCCATCCATCCATCCATCTAAATATCATATCCATCCATCCATTCTTCCATCTCAATATTGTATGCTTCCATCCATTTACCTATTGTATCCATCTATTTAAATAGTGTATGCATCCATTCATTCATCATTCTAAATATCATATCCACCCATCCATCCATCCATCCATCCATCTAAATATTGTATCCATCCATCCATCCATCTAAATATCATATTCATCCATCCACCTAAATACCATATCCAATCATCTAAATATTGTATCCATCCCTCCATCCATCCATCCATCCATCCATCCATCCATCTAAATATCATATCCATCCATCCATTCTTCCATCTAAATATTGTATGCTTCCATCCATTTACCTATTGTATCCATCTATTTAAATAGTGTATTCATCCATTCATTCATCCCTCTAAATATCATATCCACCCATTCATCCATCCATCCATCTAAATATTGTATCCATCCACCCATCTATCCATTCATCTAAATATTTTATCCATCCATCCATCTAAATATTATATCTTTTCATCCATCCATTTAAATATTGTATCCATCCATTTGTCCATTATTCTAAATATCATATCCACCCATCCATCCATTCATCCATCTACGTAAATATTGTATCCATCCATCTAAACATTGTATCCATCCATTCATCTAAATTTCATATTCATCCATTCATCTAAATATTGTATTAATCCAACCATCGACCTAAATATCGTATCTATCCATCCATTTAAATATCGCATTCATCAAAACATTGATCCAAATATTGTATCCATCTATCCATCTAAATATCTAATCCTTCCATCTAAATATTGTATCCATCCATTTGTCCATTATTCTAAATATCATATCCATCCATCCATCCATTCATCTATCTACCTAAATATTGTATCCATCCATCAAAATATTGTATCCATCCATCCATCCATCCATCCATCCATCCATCCATCTAAATATCATGTTCATCCATCCACCTAAATACCATATCCATTCATCTAAATATTTTATCCATCCATTCATATAAATATTGTATCCATCCCTCCATCCATCCATCTAAATATCATATCCATCCATCCATTCTTCCATCTAAATATTGTATGCTTCCATCCATTTACCTATTGTATCCATCTATTTAAATAGTGTATGCATCCATTCATTCATCATTCTAAATATCATATCCACCCATTCATCCATCCATCTAAATATTGTATCCATCCACCCATCTATCCATTCATCTAAATATCATATTCATCCATCCATCTTAATATTGTATTAATCCAACCATCGACCTAAATATCAACCTAAATATCGTATCTATCCATCCCTTTAAATATCGCATTCATCAAAACAATGATCCAAATATTGTATCCATCTATCCATCTAAATATTGAATCCATCCATTCGTCCATCATTCTAAATATTATATTCATCTATCCATTGATCTAAATATTGTATCCATCCATCCGTCTATCCATCCATCTAAATATCAAATCCATCCATCCATCCATCCATCCATCTAAATATTGTATCCATCCAACTTCTTAAATATCGTATCCATCAAAACATTGATCCATCCATCCATCCATCCATCCATCCATCCATCCATCTAAATATTGTATCAATCCATTCATCCATCATTTTTAATATCATATCCATCCATCCATCCATCTAAATATTGTATCCATTCATCAAAATATTGTATTCATTAATTCATCTAAATATTGTATCCATCAATCCATCTAAATATCGTATCCATCCATCCATCCATCCATCTATCCGTCTAAATATCATATTCATCCATCCATCTAAATATTGTATCCTTCCATCCATTGATCTAAATATTGTATACATCCATCCAATTAAATATTATATCCATCCAAACATCGATCCAAATGTCATATCCATCCATGTAAGTATTGTATCCATCCATTCGTCCATCATTCTAAATATCACATCCACCCATCTATCATCTAAATATTGTACACATCCACCCATCTATCATCTAAATATTGTACACATCCACCCATCTATCATCTAAATATTGTACACATCCACCCATCTATCATCTAAATATTGTACACATCCACCCATCTATCATCTAAATATTGTACACATCCACCCATCTATCATCTAAATATTGTACAAATATCATATTTATGCATCCATTAATCTAAATATGATATCCATCTTTCCATACATACATTGATCTAATTATCATATCCATCCATCCATCCATCCATCTCATGTATTCTTTCAGATAGTGTCATGCTGCTCTGTATTGAAACTCAATATTTCTTATGTTATAAAATAGTTCTTCTTTGGAACTTTTCTTTAAGATTTAATGCAGTACAAACCGATGATGATGATGATGATGATGATGATGATGAGTAATGACGCTCAACTTTGAATCACTGGAACTAATTGTATTTTTAAATATAATTGGATATAAAAGATTTTTAAATTGTAATAATATTTCATAATGGGTGCCGCAGTGCCGCAGTAGGTAGTGCTATCGCCTCACAGCAAGAAGGTCGCTGGTTTGAGCCTCGGTTGGGTCAGTTAGCGTTTCTGTGTGGAGTTTGCATGGTCTCCCTGTGTTTGCGTGGGTTTCCTCCGGGTGCTCCTGTTTCCCCCACAGTCCAAAGACATGTGGTTCAGGTGGATTAGGTTGGCTGAATTGTCCGTAGTAAATGAGTGTTTATGGATGTTTCCCAGAGATGGGTTGCAGCTGAAAGGGCATCCACAGCGTAAAACGCATCCTGGATAAGTTGGCGGTTCATTCCTCTGTGGCGACCCCAGATTAATAAAGGGACTAAGCCAAAAAGAAAATAAATGAATGAATGAATTAATTGTTTATACTGTATTTTTTAATGTAGAAAGTGCTGCTATGGTAGATGTTTTTATTCATCATAAAGATGTAAATCTAACCTTTTTTAAATCCTCAATCTTATCCAGCTACATCTTTGTCTTGATTTTCAATGAAATTTTTAAAACAAGGATGAGAAGTAAATCTGCTTGATAGATACTATAAAAAATTAAGTTTTATTTTTCTAATCCCATTGACATTTGTACTTCTTTAAGGCATAATTGAACTTATAAATAAATACTATAAAGAAATTAGAGAAGCTAAATGACATAACTCTTATTTTATAAAAGAAAAAAAAGCTCAAAAACTAAAAAAACTGATATCTTTTTCTTATTTTCTCATTTTCCCTATAAAGGTGGCATTTTAAACACATTGCACATACATTTTCACGTTTTAAGCATAAACTCATTTAATTTTAATCCCCTTTTTTCCAGTAAACAAGACTTATTTTGCTCTCTAAATCTCTATACATAATAAACACATCCTAGTTTGAAACTACATGTTTTCTGGTTAAATTAAATATTTGATACCCCTGTTTTTATTCTCAGATCCACCAATAATCACAGACGTGAAGAACATGCCTGCCCAGGTTGGGAAGACTGCAATCTTGCGCTGTGAAGCCATGGCAGTGCCCACCGCATCCTTTGAGTGGTACAGAGATGACCGAAGGTAAGCTTTAGCATTGCACATTTACAGTACATTATACAGTAAGTCAATTACAAAAGAGATGGTTTATTTGGACAGCTGAAGGCTTCTCTGTTTTATGTCTTATGCATGTATGGTGCCTGTCTGTTGTTGCTGTTACTGCTGTATACGTTTTTGTGTGGCATGAATGAGGACCCTTGACTGCAAAACAAATCTACCTTTTGGTACAAACAAAGTAACCTAACCTTAAAATAACATTAAAAAATAATGTAGTAACTGTAAAAAAAGTCTGAATTTTCCAGTAAACTAACATATTTTATTAATTTATGGTGTAAATAAACTAATATTTGATGTAGTAATATCTGCACATTGTACCTGTTACACAAAAACACACAACTAAAATGTAAATCTATTGCACAAAACTGATGGGAAAAAAATAAAGCATAGTAATGTCAACAAAAACAAATGTACAGTTATTTATCATATATATATATATATATATATATATATATATATATATATATATATATGTATTAAGGAAACTTACTGTTAACCAGGTTAAAGTAGCATTTTAATAATGTTTTAGTGTACCGCTCAGTGGAAATGACCTATTAGAACCTTTTAAAGCTTTGTCATAGAAGTCCACTATATGGAGAAAAATCCTGCATGTTTTTCGACTGAAAAAAAGAATGAAAAACATCTTTGATGACAAAGAGCTGAGTAAATGATCAAGAAATGTTTAATTCTGAAATAATCCTGCGACAGATTGGCTAACGGAGACGTGTTTATTTTTGTCTGTCATTATGTCATGGACAAGGACTCTTGACTGGAAAACAAGTCTACCTTTTAGCACAAACAAAGTTACCTAACTTTAAAATATCATTAAAAATATAGTAGAAAATTGTACAAAAAGTCAGAATTTTACAGTAAACTACCATATTTCATACATTCATAGATAAACCAATGTTTTGAAGTTTTGAATTGTACCTTTACAGAAAAAAACACAAAACTAAAATGTGCAAAACTGATGAGAAAAGTTATATAAAGCATAATAATGTCAACAAAAAACTAATGTACAGTCAAATGTATAGCTATTCACTGTATATATTAAGGAAATTCACTGTTAAGCAGTTTACAGTAGCATTTTTACAGTTATTTACAGATAAAGGAAATTTTTTTATGGCAGCGTTCAATGAAAATGAGTCATTAAAACTTTTTGAAGTCCACCATATGGGAAAAAATCCTTCATGTTTTACTCAAGAAAACTTCATTTATTTTTGATTGAAGAAAGAAATAAAATCTTTGATGACAAGAGGCTGAGTAAACAATCAAGAAATTTGAGTTCTAAACTAAACAGGTTGACTGAAGAAGACGTTGTGTATGTCATTAAGTCATGAATGAGGACTCTTGACTGCTAAATCAATCTACATTATGGTACAAATAAAGCAATTTATCCTTAAAATACTGTTAAAATACTATATAAACTGTAAAAAGTCTGAGTTTTACAGTAAACTACCTTATTTCATTAATTTAGACCAATATTTTGAAGTAGTAATATCTGCACATTGTACCTCTGTTACTTACAACTAAAATGTACATCTAATGTACAAAACTGATGAGAAAAACTAAATAAAGCATCAGAATGTCGACATAAAAACGTGTAAATGTAGTTATTCACCGTATATATTAAGGAAACTCACTGTTAAGCAGGTTACAGTGGCGTTTTTAGTTATTTACAGATGGAGGAACATTATTTAGTGTGGCGCTCAATGAAAATGAACCATCAGAACGTTTTAAAGTCCACCATATGGAGAAATATCCTGCATGTTTTATTTAAAAACCTTAATTTTTTTATTTTTCCGACTGAAGAATCAAAGAAAAAACATCTTTGATAACAAGGAGCTGAGTAAATCATCAATACATTTTATTCTGAATTAATCCCTCAACTGATTGACTGAAGGAGATGCTGTGTACGTCATTATGTCACGAATGAGGACTCTTGACTGCTAAACAAATCTACATTTTGGTACAAATAAAGCAATTTCACCTTAAAATTCCATTAAAAATGCAAAAGAAACTAAAAAAAAAGTCTGAATATTACAGTAAACTACCGTATTTCATTAATTTGTAGTGTAACTTACTGTTGACCAGGTCACCGTTTTTACAGTTATTTACAGTTAAAGAACCATTTTAGTGTAGCGCTCAATAGAAATTAATCATTAGAACTTTTTGAAGTCCACCATATGGAGAAACATCCTCCATGTTTTACTCAAAAACCTTCCTATATATATATTTTTTTTTTGACTGAAGATTTATACTTCTGCATCAAACGCCGGCGTATGCTACGGCGCTGACGCATAGCCCTTCGCTGTGGCCGTCGGCGTCGCTGATGTGCACCTCTCAAAAAATGTAACTACACGTCACAACAACGCGTAGCGCAAGCTCTGTGATTGGTCGGCTTGGTAGCGCTGACGAGTCTGGGCGGGACCGAGAGCCGCAAGAATGGTGCGAGCCTGATGGAGCGATTGTTTACAAGTGTGGAGTCCCGCGAAGGAGCTTCTGATAAAAAGTTTTGTTTTGTGTTTACCTCATAGTTAAAGTTGTTGCACGTCCGCCGGTTCCTGCCTCAAAATGAGCGAGTTTGAGCCACTTGAACATCCCGGAACTGTTCAGGAAAAGCAAAACAGCAGCGAAGAAACTCGACACAGAGGAACATTTACACCTCACTGCCCACTAGCATTTCAGAAGTGTTAATGCAGACCAACAGAGACAGCGTGCAGAAGTATAAATGCACAGCTACGCACGTTGCATGCGCCGTGGGTTACGCCGGTCACTTGACGCAGAAGTATAAACCAGGCTTAAATGATCAATACATTTTAATTCTGAATTAATCCCTCCACCGACTGACTGAAAGAGATGCTGTGTACGTCATTATGTCATGAATGAGGACTCTTGACTGCTAAACAAATCTACATTCTGGTACAAATAAAGCAATTTAACCTTAAAATATCATTAAAATGCTAAAGAAACTAAAAAAGTCTGAATATTACAGTAAACTACCGTATTTCATAAATGTGTAGTGTAGATAAACTTAATGTTAACCAGGTTACAGTACCGTTTTTACAGTTATTTACAGTTAAAGAACCATTTTAGTGTAGCGCTCAATAGAAATGAGCCACTTTATGGAAAAGCATCCTCCATGTTTTACTCAAAAGCCTTCATTTCCTTTTTTTTGAATGAAGAATCAAAGAAAAATACATCTTTGATGACAAGCGGCTGAGTAAATGATCAAGAAATTTTAATTCTGAACTAATCCCTCAACCGATTGACTGAAAGGGAAGCTGTGAACCATGGGAAAGCAGGACATACTGGGCTACGTGACAACTCACCTAACGCTAACATGCCATCTCTTTCATTTGTTCTTTCTCAGGCCGGTAGAGAGCGATAACACTCTGAAGATTAAAAACGAGAAAACACGATCCCTGCTGCTCTTCACCAACGTCACAGAAAAACACTTTGGCAACTACACCTGTTTCGCCTCCAACCGCCTCGGGGCTTCCAACGCCAGCATGCTTCTCTTCAGTGAGTACACTATTGCAGACACTCCAAAACTCTCCCAAACATTCGCAGATCTACAAAAGGCAGAAAGTCAAGGATAAATAAACAGCCTCCAGGAAGTGACTTTTTCACCGTTCAGAACAAGGCGATATGCAATTCTCGCTCCCCGAGGCTGGTTTTCACGACCCGCGGATGATAGCGACGTGTCCATTGATGGTGCTTGAAAGCAAATGGTTTGGTAGTGTATGCTCAGCAAAGTGCATCGTTTTCAAGCTTTTTAATAATGCATAGCTCCGGCAAACTCCAATTGCAGGCATTTGAAAGAGTTTGTGACAAAAGTGCACTGCAGAGGAGTCACTTTCCCACTGAACAGCTTTGTCTTGTTTTCTGCTACAGATTTGTAAACTTTTTTTACATCAATATGCATTTGCTTGAGAGGCAAAATAGCATCATGGTTTGCATCTTTTCTGGGTTCATTACGTGAGGGCATTAGTGGCTGTACACTTTTTCAGCATCCTCATGCGTTCTTCTTATAAGGATTTTTAGGGGGGGGGGTGTTCTAAGTCAGGGTTTTTCAAAGTCTAAGACAGTGGGCCTCCCTTTTGACACAACTTATCCATTGGCGCCCCCTCCTCCCAAACAAACAAAAGTTTAGCGGGTCTCATGCTGTCATTAGCCAAAATATCTTGACAAACCACACATAAAGGTCGTGGTTCATCAGCTGGTCCTGTCCACGTAAATCCTAAACTCAAAAACTGATCATAATAACGTCGTCTTTTGGGTTTAAGCCCTGAACTTGAAGGCTTTGAATCGGGGGGTCTCAGAAACCGATCCATTGTATTAGCAGGCATATACCTGTATTGGCGGGCTTGCCAAACAGAAGCGAATTCACAGCTATGGCCTTCTGGGTAAAAAAGGTTTTCTTATTTTTGACGTATTATTTTTTTTAACTTTGTTTAATTAAAACGTTTAAAATAATAAAAAATACACATAATAATTAAACTTAATAATTATATTTTTATTATATAATATTTTTTCCCGCGCCTCCCCTGACATGCTCTGGCGCCCCCCAGGGGAGGCGCGCCTCACACTTTGAAAACCCCTGTTCTAAGTTGTTTAAATTTTAACCAATAAAAACCAAATCAACAAGCTATGGGGAGAGTCACAACAAAATATTTTGGTCACACTTTACAACAAGGGGGCTATTCAATTGGTGACCCGTGGGCTGAACTTGGGCCCTGAGGCAATTTGTTCTGACCCTCCAAATAGTGTGAACAAGACTCAAAATGAAATTCAGTTTAGTCAAAAATCAATACAGTCTTGAAGTGACGCGCGTCTGTTGAAGGCTGCGCAGAGCGTGAGTCTCCTGACATTAAGTGAGTGGCGCGAGCAGCCAAAAACCTTTGGATACTTAAGCTTAAAGGCTTGTCAACGTCGCTTTTCTGCTGCACGGAACGAAACTGTTGCACTAAACAAAGTAATGCCACCTGTTTGCTAGTTTAAAGTTTCGAGTTTATACACCAAGGCTAAGACGCACGCACACTGGATTAACTATTGCATCGGGCTGTTCAAATATCGCGTCTTCGTTATTTCCAATGTAAGAACATATGCCAATATGCACACGCAAGCATGTAGAAAACATCTTACGCTGTATCGGGGAGAGTTGTGAATGACTTTCATTGCAATGTAAACAAAAGATATAGAACGAATATTACAAATTATTAAATAGATTGTTTATGCATGAACTCAGATAATAACAACTACCTAATTAAAAGCTTAAATTTACATTAGACGTTATAAAGTGATATAGAAATTTGGGGGGTGGGGTTGGTGTGAATGTTTAAAATATTAAGCATCATAAACCAAATCAACAAGCTATGAGGAGAGTCACAACAAACAAGATTTTTATTTGAAAAATATTTTGGTAACACTTTACAACAGGGCTATTCAATTGGTGATCCGCGAGCTGAACTTGTTGGCGATGAGGCGATTGTTGAGGCAATTTGTGCTGACCCTCCAAATAGTACAAACAAGACATTAAAAATATATTCAGTTCAGTCGAAAAATGGATATAATTTTGAAGTGACGCGCGTCTGTTGAAGGCTGCGCAGAGCGTGAGTCTCCTGACATTAAGTGAGTGGCGTGAGCAGCCGAAAACCTTCGGATACTTAAGCTTAAAGGCTTGTCAACACTGCTTTTCTGTTGCTCGGAACGAAACTGCTGCAACTAAACAAAGTAATGCCACCTGTTTGCTAGTTTAAAGTTTCGAGTTTATACACCAAGGCTAATACGCACGCACACAGGCCGTTCACATATTGCGTCTTTTCCGCGTGAGCAAATTCGTTATTTCCAATGTAAGAACATATGCCAATATGCGCACGCAAGCAAGCATGTAGAAAACGTCTTACACTGTATCGGTGAGAGTTGTGTGTGACTTTCATTGCAATGTAAACAAAAAGTGTAGAATGGATATTACAAATTATTAAATAGATTGTTTATGTATGAACTCAGATAATAACAACTACCTAATTAAAAGCTTAAACTTACATTAGATGTGATACTGGGATATAGAAATTTGGGGGGAGGGGGTGGTGTGAATGTTTAAAATATTAAGCATTATAAACCAAATCAACAAGCTATGAGGAGAGTCACAACAAACTAAATTTTTATTTGAAAAATGTTTTGGTCACACTTTACAACAGGGCTATTCAATTGGTGATCCGCGAACTGAACTTGTTGGCGGTTGAGGCGATTGTTGAGGCAGTTTGTTCTGACCCTTCAAATAGTGCAAACAAGACATTAAAAATAAATTCAGTTCAGTCAGAAAATAGATACAGTCATGAAGTGACGCGCGTCTGTTGAAGGCTGCGCAGAGCGTGAGTCTCCTGACATTAAGTGAGTGGCGCGAGCAGCCGAAAACCTTTGGATACTTAAGCTTAAAGGCTTGTCAACGTCGCTTTTCTGTTGCACGGAACGAAACTGCTGCAACTAAACAAAGTAATGCCACCTGTTTGCTAGTTTAAAGTTTCGAGTTTATACACCAAGGCTATGACGCACGCACACTGGATTAACTATTGCATCGGGCCGTTCAAATATCGCGTCTTTTCTGCGTGCACAAATTCGTTATTTCCAATGTAAGAACATATGCCAATATGCACACGCAAGCATGTAGAAAACGTCTTACGCTGTATCGGTGAGAGTTGTGCGTGACTTTCATTGCAATGTAAACAAAAAATTTAGAACGAATGTTACAAATTATTAAATAGATTGTTTATGTATGAACTCAGATAATAACAACTACCTAATTAAAAGCTTAAATTTACATTAGACGTTATAAAGTGATATAGAAATTTGGGGGGAGGGGGTGGTGTGAATGTTTAAAATATTAAGCATTATAAACCAAATCAACAAGCTATGAGGAGAGTCACAACAAACAAGATTTTTATTTGAAAAATATTTTGGTTACAACAGGGCTATTCAATTGGTGATCCGCGAGCTGAACTTGTTGGCGGTTGAGGCGATTGTTGAGGCAATTTGTGCTGACCCTCCAAATAGTGCAAACAAGACATTAAAAATAAATTCAGTTCAGTCGAAAAATGGATATATTTATGAAGTGACGCGCGTCTGTTGAAGGCTGCGCAGAGCGTGAGTCTCCTGACATTAAGTGAGTGGCGCGAGCAGCCGAAAACCTTTGGATACTTAAGCTTAAAGGCTTCTCAACGCTGCTTTTCTGTTGCACAGAACGAAACTGCTGCAACTAAACAAAGTAATGCCACCTGTTTGCTAGTTTAAAGTTTCGAGTTTATACACCAAGGCTAATACCAAGCACACAGGCCGTTCACATATTGCCTCTTTTCCGCGTGCACAAATTCGTTATTTCCAATGTAAGAACATATGCCAATATGCACACGCAAGCATGTAGAAAACGTCTTACGCTCTATCGGTGAGAGTTGTGTGTGACTTTCATTGCAATGTAAACAAAAAAGTGTAGAATGGATATTACAAATTATTAAATAGATTGTTTATGTATGAACTCAGATAATAACAACTACCTAATAAAAGCTTAAACTTACATTAGATGTGATACTGGGATATAGAAATTTGGGGGGAGGGGGTGGTGTGAATGTTTAAAATATTAAGCATTATAAACCAAATCAACAAGCTATGAGGAGAGTCACAACAAACTAAATTTTTATTTGAAAAATATTTTGGTCAAACTTTACAACAGGGCTATATGATTGGTGATCCGCGAGCTGAACTTGTTGGCGGTTGAGGCGATTGTTGAGGCAATTTGTTCTGACACTCCAAATAGTGCAAACAAGACATTAAAAATAAATTCAGTTCAGTCAAAAAAAATAGATACAGTCATGAAGTGACGCGCGTCTGTTGAAGGCTGCGCAGAGCGTGAGTCTCCTGACATTAAGTGAGTGGCGTGAGCAGCCGAAAACCTTTGGATACTTAAGCTTAAAGGCTTGTCAACGTCGCTTTTCTGTTGCACGGAACAAAACTGCTGCAACTAAACAAAGTAATGCCACCTGTTTGCTAGTTTAAAGTTTCGAGTTTATACACCAAAGCTAAGACGCACGCACACTGGATTAACTATTGCATCGGGCCGTTCAAATATCGCGTCTTTTCCGCGTGCACAAATTCGTTATTTCCAATGTCAGAACATATGCCAATATGCACACGCAAGCATGTAGAAAACGTCTTACGCTGTATCGGGGAGAGTTGTGAATGACTTTCAGTGCAATGTAAACAAAAGATATAGAACAAATATTACAAATTATTAAATAAATTGTTTATGTATGAACTCAGATAATAACAACTACCTAATTAAAAGCTTAAATTTACATTAGACGTTATAAAGTGATATAGAGATTTGGGGGGAGGGGGTGGTGTGAATGTTTAAAATATTAAGCATTATAAACCAGATCAACAAGCTATGAGGAGAGTCACAACAAACTAAATTTTTATTTGAAAAATATTTTGGTCACACTTTACAACAGGGTTATTCAATTGGTGAT